TGGGAACTTAATCTACTTGCACGTGCCGGTCCCAATCCCCAAAATGGGTGCCAACACCCACGTACGAACCCGCCAAAATTTTCTTCAGGTAAGTTCATAACTAGGGGATCTGAGAAGGTAGAGCGCTGAAATCTTAGGGAGATGTTCCCTGTCCAACTGGGTATTAACGAGTTCAAACCCTGCCCGCGGGTGAGCGTTTTACTTATGTACGGGCCGTGAAAGTTTCTTCCGGGTAAGTTGCTAACTCGAGAAAGTGGGAAGCTAGAAGGTTGGTATTTTGAGGGATGTTTCCTGACAATCCTGGCGGCCAGTCTGAAATTCTTTTAGCTAGAAGCATCTGCCAGAAAAGCCAGTGCCGTTAGCGACAAAAATCTGCGGAGAGCTATGCAAAAAACGTATCTTCGCACGGGCAGCCCGTGCGTTGGCCAATTATTTTTTAATGGCTAACTACTTGTTGCAGAGAAGATTTATTGAATGGAGGGCTGATAAACAATGAAAGTGATTCCTTATTTGTTGCGCTTTATGACTTCCATGGTGTTGGCGAGGAGCAGCTTTCACTCAAAAGAGGTTCGTGCAGAATTTTGCAAAATTACAGAAAACCTTTTTAATGATGCCTGCTTATTCGGTAGCGCTGATTGCTTTGCAAGCGAAATGATATGGAAAAACGCGGCGCAAATTTTTTTCGTTTGCCCTGTTTCATAAAGCATCGCGGAATCAACTGAATCAATACGTCACTTTGTCATATGAATAGTATTTACATGCACAGTTACAGTTTAAAAGAATAAATTTTTTTTTAAAGGGGCGGTCTGCCTGCAGAGGGAGCAGCAGGCAGTTGAGGTAAAAATGGTGCGGGCTGTCCGGGCAATCTACCTAGATCACCGTACCATAACGGCAATGGAAGTGCAGATGTCTGTGATGAAAGGATTGGCATTTGAGGGATTTGTGGGTTAATTGGTTGACCTTGTAGCGGGGACAACGGTAGTGGATTGAACGGCTGAGGAAGTACATGTGGATCAGCTAGGATAGGTGCCATTGTCGGTAGTGGTGGTATACCTCCAGACTGATTAGGTAACGTAAGTGGTTGCGATGCACTTTTTGGTTGGTAAAACCCAGGTATTCCGGCCGGAACAAGTGGGGCACTGGAGAGGTTTGGCGTCGGTAATTGTAGTGGAAGTTGTTGACCGGTAAAACCTGGCAACTGCGGTAGAGGTGGTTGTGGCACTGGGACATTCGGAATAGCACCTGGAAACAGCGCTTGTCTTCTGCGACGTTGACGCAGCTTTTGTGTAACTTTCACATTCTCTGATTGCTCCTCTTTTTCGTGAGGGTTCTGTTCTGGGATCGTTCCGATTGGCGTAGAATTCGATGCATCCTCTTTCTTGTACCCTCTTTGTTCAAGTTTATTCCGGAATTGATAGGTATATGGAATCCTGCTAAAGCGCATTCTTCGCGACTTTTGTAAATGAGGTTTTGTTTTCCGAGTGCTGAAGTCCGGTTCTGGGGAGTCGGAGGAAGTTAGCAGTTGCTTCCGATATTGTCTCAGAGCAGGTAATCTGACTTTCGGCGTTTCACGAGACTTATCACTCATTTGCACAGGGATCTGGGATGCTTTCTTTTCCCAGCTTGGTTGAAATATTTGGTGATCTGTGTGCGGTAGTGGCACAGGCAGTTGCTCGGTAGATCTGTTGTTCCCTTGCGTTGCTTCATTCAAACCTGATTTTTTCCCCACGTTTCTGAGCTTGTTTTGTGGACAAATATCTGAAAGATTTCAATTTTACGTGTATTTTTTTGTTGGTAATCCTTGGAAAAGCGGTTCTACTTCCCAGATTCCTCCTTATCAGTTAGCGAGAAGGTAATTTGGGCGATCTAAGGTGAGCTACTGTGAGTTTTCCAGTGCCTGAAATAGTGAGGCTTGCGGCTGGATGCTGAGAAACATTTCTCATTTTACAGTGTTGTATTAAAAATACTTGAGATCTCATTTTCATATAAAATTGAAGCCTCAGCACTCAAAGATCCCTTCTGGCATGAGAAAAGCGCCCCAGTAGTAATGCATACTAGGTTTGCCGGTGCGATAATGCGTTTTTACGCGAATCTTGGAGCATTTAGATCGTTGACAGTATGTGATTGTTTTAAAATTTAACATATTTACGCATGTTAGCAATGCTTTTACTTTTTGTTGCATGTAGGGGAAAAAGGGCGTCAGCTAGGATGGTAGTGTTACATCGCGCGTAAAAATATTAACCTCCGCGTAAAAATATTAACCTTTAACACGTGTGATTGCTATAAATTTTTGCATGGAAGTGTTATCGGCAAAACGCACCCTCATGTTCGCCATATGCGTAAGCGAGATTTGGACAAGATAACTTCGTAAAATGCTGGGTGACCTCGTAAAGCTTCAGCTTCCTAGCTTGTTTTGTTCCCGAAATCACTACTTCGCTAAAAATACCCGACGTGCTTTAGCGCCCAGGTAAATTCAAAACGCAGTTTAGATATACGAATCTCAGTCTCAGTATCGCAAAACTATAGCTCTCTTTTTCTGGCTAATTCTCAAGTAGGCGCCAGTGCCAGCGACGAACTTTTACATGCTCCCACGCGAGGCGTAAGCGTACGTTGTAGCTGAATTTAGAATCTTTAACTTATACATGAGAAAGAAAAAACCCTCACACTTGAAGTCGCTTCCTGCTGAAAAATTTACGTCTTTCGAGTGATCGTACCACCCAAGCGTATGAAAACTATAATTTCAAAATAGGAGATCGCAAATAGAGATGGGGAATATGCTTTAAAAGTTTTAGCTTCCCAGTTCCTCTGATTATTAATTCGGAAATCAGAAAAACTAGGAAGTTGAAATTTCATAATAATGCTGTCTGCCCGCGTATAAATCACCTCTTACGCGTCTAGGTTCTACATACAAAATAGGGTGTTCTGACATCAAAATTCAGCGACCACAGAAATTTTTGTACGTATCAAACAGTAATGCAGTGGACACTTTCAACAAAGTTCCCTTGAACAGAACTGCACAAGCATCAGCTGCACAGAATTGCACAATCATCCGTCGGGCAGGCTTGCAAAAGCGTTTGCAGGACGGGTTGCACAAAATGCATGATCGCTGTAGCAGCGAGCAAAAGCGCATATTACCAAAAACACACAGACGATCCCGTGATAATATACGCTTTTGTTCATTGTTACAGCGGTATAGCAATGCACAGCAGAAACCATTATAAATAGTAGCGCGCATCAGAGCAGCTGATGCGATCATGCGTTTTGTGTAACTGTTGCATCACAAAACTCATAAAAACTGAAAAAATGAAACGAGTGAACAGAAAATTCAGTTCGTAGTGAGGGGATGAAGGCGAAATTAGATCGAAAAGACACGAGATTTAGCTAATAAGCGAAAACTTAATTCAGAGGGCAGCAAATCTAATAAAAAAGTGCTGATTACTTTAAAAAAAAACTTGTGCAAAATTTATCACTTTAAAATTCGATGGAATACTTTAATAAGCCAATACTTATGCCTGGAGAAGTAAAATTTAGCGCTCAGAGGCTAGGAAAAGTCACTTGTTTTCCTGTTTCCTTTCAGTCCTGCGTTCTTGCAGCAGATTATGCCCGGTACGCTGAGGCATGTAATGGCACGCTGCCAGTTTTTAGTTAAATTTTGCTTTCCTGTCTGTATGATGATGGGACAAAGCAAGCTTGGCGCAACGCAGTTTTAGTAATAATTAAGCATCGTTTGAATATTTTCAAAAATTAAAAATTTACCCTCAATGGCGGCATCTGGGACCGTGAACGCGGAGATATTGACATAGCACCACGTTGGTGTTATCCACATTATCAGCACTGTTAACACAATCGTCATTTAAAGTGTTTCTGCTTTAAATTCTGCAAGTATGTTATGATTTAATAATCAAGTATATTATTTATTGTTCACGTCTTTCTTATCTGAGGAATACAGTGCTCATTGGGGTCCACAAGCAAAAGAATGAAAGGGGAGGGGAAGTTTGGTGGAAGGTACAGAATTATCTGCGTGCAAAAGATAACTGTGAAAAATTAGTTCGTGAGTCACAAAATTCGCTTATATGGGCTCGAAAGTACACCAAGAGGGCGCAGAAACATTTGACGTTGGATGTGAGGATGAAGGTACTGGATAACGTGCTTTGAAGGATGAAAGGCCAAAACTGCTAAAATTTAGCACGAAGACCTGAAAATCCTATTTCGAAAGAATATTCCTTGGATTTGCGGCCTATCAAAGTACCAGATTTGGACCTTGAAACACAAGTTATATACTTTAGTAGTCGCAGCAATGCACCATTGCTCAAAATAGTTGAAAAAATTGTCCGTTTATCCTGAGCTCAAACAAGACGGCTGTCAAGATTCATATATTTCCTGTACCAGCTAAGTGTTAAAAAAACTGACTGATTTGCAAAGAAATGAGGGATATGAAATCCTCTTGGTGGCCAGAATTAGTCACGGACCTGAATCTGGGAAAAAATCCTCATACCTTGAGGATCCTGAGATTCTTGAATATCTTAAGTAAGTAAGTTCTGGTTTACGGAACTTTTAAGTATTCTAACCGTAGCAGATGAGGGTGGAAAATATAGGAGTGGAATGTATCAGTATTTGCGTAATAAATAATGCCTAGAAGCAGAAATACGGTAATAGTAGTAAAAGAAAAAAGGACCAAAGGTATAATATTAATAGCTTTAAAGGTAAAGAATAATAATCCAGCCGGCAAAAACTAGAAAAACAAAAACTTGTCGTAGACGAGGAAAAATTGTGGAGTGACAGTTAAATATTTTTGCCAACTTTTACTAATTTTAATACGCGTGGATTTGCATAAATGTGACCTTAATTAGCTCCCGTGGTTAGTCAGAGCAATATAATAACAAT